CCTGTAGTTTTAAGTGTATGGCCCGTTGGGATGTGTCAAATGCTTGTTTGTCCACCCCGGTACAGGTAACACCAAGGTCCATTTGGCACTCGTAGGCTTGCCATTGAAAGCAACACCATTTTTGTTTTGAATGACCGACTGTTTCGCTTATACCCCAATCGTTTTTGGCCGTATCGTAACAAACGCGCATTTCAGCAGGGTCGGGACACATGGGCTCGTTACCTAGCACTGTTTGTATAACCAACAGGGTTGCCGTGATTAGGAGTATGTTAATTGTGCGCATATTTTGTGGTTTCTAAAATAAAAACAACTATTATTATTATAAGTAGTTTAAAATAATAATAATTTTAGTTTAAATATAGTTAGTTATTAGTTTAGATTAATTTACCTTTTAAAAAGTGCTGAAGTTATGTGGAATAAAATTTATTATAAAAGTATAATTGATAATTTTCTTAGTTTAAGTAATTCGTTGTAGTATTTAATGTTTACAATTTTATACAATGGCTGCAAAATTAGCATTACATTTCCTGTTTACACATGATAACAATTCTTGTAAAAATAACCCATGGTAACAAATAATTATGATAAGCAATGTTATATAATATTTTTTTATAAGAACAGTGTATTCTAATGAACTCTAGTAATAATAATAATGAGAGATATTAATTAATCAAGAATTTCTTCCTTTACAAGATTTCTATAGTATTTTCGGTCGACTTTTCCAATACTAGTCCTCACGATATGGTCCACGAATAGCACACCACCGGTCAGTTGTTTAGTATACGCCAGAGTGTCTAAGTAATTAATAAACACAATTAGTTGCATAACTAAAACCAATTAGACATAATCAATGCAATAGTAGCAGCAAATCAACCATGATATTAAATAAATTCTTACCTGAAACAAACTTCTCAATCTCAGAGCTGTTAATACTACGTCCAGCTTTGAGCACAACATAAGCCCGGGGCCGGTGAGTGCCCGCCTTGTTATTGACGCCCACAACAGCCACTTCAGCGATGGACGGGTGGGTCAACAGGTATTGTTCAATCTCTACGGGAGATATATTGATATAGTGTTGACCCACTCCTATGCGCACCACTTCTTTAAGCCTATCCGTAATGAATATACACTTTCTGTCGTCGTAGTGCCCGATATCGCCTGTCCTATACCAGCCCTCCCCGTCCACCGCCTCAGCCCAGGCTTTATCATTGTTTTTATAACCTGTGATCAAGTTGGCACCTCGTATGCATATTTCACCATCATGGTTTGGGCCCAGGCTTTCGCCCGTGGTCAGATCTACCACTTTTAACTCGATCCCGGAGGTTACTTGACCGCAATTACCCGGCTCATACTCTCTTGCACCCATATGAAAGCTAGTAACCGGACAGCATTCAGTCATACCATAACCTAATTTTTAAAAAAATAAAATTTATTATAATAAAATATTATTAATTCTTAAAATAAAATTAATAAAAAATATTTTTAAAAGTAAAAATAAAAATCTCTGACTAAACGCTTTTTAATAATAAAATAAACTTTATATTACACAAAACATACCTTCTCCAAAAATCAAGCCGTACTTATCAATGAACACGCGGGCGGTGTCGGGCGGAAACGCAGCTCCGCCGGTGGCCAGCATTTTTAAACTGGACATATCATACTTGTCCAACAGACCATGGTCAACCATCTGTTTACCCACATTGGGAAATATGCCCAACGAGTTGATGCGATATTTCTGCACCGATTGCGCGATAAACTCGTCGTCGTAATCGGGAAACATGATCAAGGTGCCGCCAGAGCACAGTTGCATAGGCAAAGCAAACGTGCCCGACATGTGCCCCAACGGGTACAGGAACGAGCTTACCATGCTGGCCGCACCTTTGTTATACATACGGACGTTATTCAAAATCATTCTGTGCGGCACCTGGGCACATTTGGGCGCACCAGTCGTGCCCGATGTGTGTATCAAAAACAGGGTCTCGTCTCTCGATTTGACGTCAAAGTGAGGCACTTTAGCCAACTTTACGCCCAACCCTTGGCCCTCTTCCCGGAGCCTGTCGTACGTCACGTGTTCATCATGTTTGCCGTCAAACACGATAACCAATTTAATCTCATCATTATTATTACTATCTAATAAGCTGTTAAATTTATCAAGATCCCTGGCCGAGCACATGACAATGTCGGCACCGACAGCCCTGACCTCTTCGGTCACCTCGTACTGGCCAAAGGTGGGGCTGAGGGGCATAAATGTGGCGCCCAGTAGTTTTACGGCAACTCTGAGTACTGCATGTTGTATAGAGTTTGGGCCGTAAAAGGCGATCAGCGATGACTGATTGACCCCCCGGTCCAGTAGTGCCACCGCTATATCAGTGGCCGCCTGTTTGACCGCACCTATCGTTATGGACTTTTCCGTTACTGCATCAATCTAGATGGTTTTATTATAATTTATACAATAGTTAATTTATTTGTTTGTTATTAATGATAATTTATTAGAAATTCAAAGTATAATTATTGCTTAAAAATTACCATGCATATTTTATCCTCGTTAATTTCTTCAAGTCGTTTCCAAATAAATTCACCGACACTTTTAAATGGACTTTCTGCTAGTTGAGTGCTTGAGCGGATTATTTTGTCCATGACTATTTTTATATATAACACTTCAAGTACAGCAAACAAATAATTGTTTTAGTTTTAATTAAGTTGTGCTTACTTTGTAACAGAACTTAATAAATGAACATTTTCTCTCGTGATTTATATAGATTGTAAATATTATAATAAAACTATTAAGATAAGTTAATTGGCAAAAATGGTTATATTAATGTTAAACAAAATGTTGTTAGATTACAAATTTTTGAAACAAACAACTATTAAAATTTATACTTAAAAGTACATTCAAGTGCAAAATTTTTCGGAACTATGTAACTTATGTACTACTTTAGTTGTACTTATGGTTGCACAATAATTCCTCGGTACAATAGGCACAAAATGGACATGTACATTAATTAATTTCTGAAATAATTTAAGTTTATAGCTCTAAATAATAATAAAGTAATTATTAATAGATCAAATAAAATGTCATTTAAGTTTCTATGATGATGAAATTTTTAATATAATAATATTAGTTTTAGTACTTATAATATTTTAATCATAATTTTTAAGAATAGAGTTTAAATTCATTAAAAATAATTTTATATTACATAAATTTAATATTAATTGTAATTTTAAATAATGTTTTTAAATTTGTTTTCATAGAATTTAGTACTATTATTTAAAAATTAGCCAGTGCGTTAGTTTCTTATGTCATTAATCAAGATTTAATTTTATTGTTATTATACAATAATTTGTTGGCCAATTGTTAACCATACATCTCATTAGACTTACCATGTTTAAACATTTTATTAATAAAATAGAACTGTAACTTTATATTTTGTGACATTTTAATATAACTAAACCTTAATTCAACAACATTATTTTATTATTTTATTTTATTAAAAGTTAAAATTTACTTGTTGAATTAAGATTCTACGTAATTAATATTAGTACTTATTATCTATATTAATATTAGTACTCAATATCTAATCAACATTATAAGTGCAGTGGTTTTTATGTAAACATTATGCGTACAAATTATGGGCTAATATATTCAAACAATTTAACATTTGTTGAAATAATCAAACAAGTACAAATAAACGAATCATTATAACTCAATGTCCTAAAATTTAATTTTATATTTAATATATTAAAGTAATTATTTAACATATTAGTTTAATATTAGACTAACAAAACATGTTTTGTGTACTTTATTTTCGCACTAATTTAAAATAAAACTAATGTAAAAATATAATCATTATTTTAAACTAGAAAATTTTTTATGAATCTTATAAGATTTAACTTATGTTTTAATAAATGAAAAAACTATTAGGATAGCATTTGTTTTGTTGGACTTGGTTACATTTAATGTACTGTAGTATTGATAAAATAATTATTTTTCTGTTAAGCCTAGTATACCGCATGACTCTTCCCTCATCACAAACTTTTTCACTTTCCCGGCAGGTGTTAGCGGAAAACTGTCCACGAATAGCACGTACCTGGGTACTTTGAAATGTGCGATCTAGTTTAAACAATAAATAAAACTAATATATTAGCAATATAAAATTTTACTATAAATAAATATTAATAGTACAATTGAAAAATAAGGACAATGTACCTTTTGTTTGCAAAACTCTTTCACCTCACTCTCGGTAGGCTTGACAGCGGCGTCTTTAACCTGAATCCATGCGCACAACTCTTCGCCCATTCTATCATCAGGTACTCCACACACCTATCATAATAAAATTAAATCTTGGTAATACTCACAATTATTATTATAATATAAGATTATAACTGCCACTTACATAGGCGTCCCTTATAGCCGGGTGTGAGTGTAGCAACTCTTCCACTTCGCGGGGGTATATATTTTCGCCGCCCCTTATGATCATCTCTTTGGTGCGGCCGATGATCTTGATGAAACCCTCCTCGGTCATAACAGCCAGGTCACTTTGTATAGAATAAATGTTTTAACTTAATTCACATTGATTTTGCGCATGTTTAATTATGTTACCCCGATTTATACCACCCGCTGGCATCAATCGCATCATGGGTACTTTTCGGGTTACGCCAATAACCTATCATTTGATTATGACCTCGAGATTCTATTTCACCAGGCTCACCGATTTTAGTAATTTGTCTCGTTGCCTGATTCACTATTTTTGTTTCCATATGATCAATGGGTCGACCTAGGTTAAAATGATAGCATAATTGACTAATTAACTTAACCATATGTAATTATACAATTATGCTAAAATAATGCATGATTAATTATATTCATTTGTCACATACCAACTGTTTCAATACGATTGTATAAGCTATCCGATTGGCGCGATAGTGAACCACTACAACCTACATAGATTGTAAAACTAGTTGTATTACATAGTTTATTTTCAAATTAACTAGTATCAATAAATTGTGCTAGCTCGTACCCGCTTCCGTCGCACCCCAGGCCACCCGGACATCTGTGCAACTTGGTATTACTTTTTGCACTCGATAGGCCACCTCTTTGGGCATGGGCGAACCTCCCGCTATTAGACCTCTTAGCGAGGGCAATTTGAGTTTGTTTGACTCCAAATAGTTGACCGTGTCAATGATCATGGTAGGCGTGCCATATAAATAGCTGCACTCATTTCGCGCCATTGACTCAACCATTTGTTTTACGTTGTATTTGCAGTTCGGTATGTGACAAATGAATATAATTAATCATGCATTATTTTAGCATAATTGTATAATTACATATGGTTAAGTTANAGAGAGAGAGAGAGAGAGAGAGAGAGAGAGAGTTTGTCAGGAAATGAAATAAAGTAAAGTATTTTTTACCAAGTTTATAGGGATGCGCACACATGCCCAAATTACCAAGCAGACCGAATGTGTGAAAAAATGGTAATGGTAGACACAATGATTTTTCATCGTGGTCCAAATCGAACGAGTTAGCAACTATTAACGCGTTGTTGCCTATAATATAAAATGCATTCAGTATATTGATGTATTAATTATTTAATTTCACTTTACCAAGGGTAAAATGCGTTAAATATGCGCCTTTTGGTTTGCCAGTAGTTCCCTAATAAAATTAAATAAATTTTATAAATATAATACATGTATATAAAATATAATGCACGTACTGATGTAAACATAATAATTGCCGGATCATCGGGTGTGACTTCATCAAGCACATTTTGTTCAATAATGCCATCATTAGCGATTAAATCACTTAATAGGTATTCAGGTATGTTTAACTTATTTAAGTTATTGAGTTTATATTTGTCGCCATCCATTATAATTACTTTTTCAATAAGTAATTTATCATCATTTTGCTAAATAATTAATTATAATTAATTTTATTGTTGTAAAATAATAATGATTTATTAATTATTACAACTTACCTTATTTGATTCACTAAGCACTTGATCAAATACTTTGGCAAAATTATTGACAGCTCCCTGTTTACTGTCACTACCAGGCATGAATAGCATTTTAACTTGGGCATTTCTCAGCACATAATCTAGCTCATTAGCTAGATACGCCGGATTAATTGAACATTGTATCAATCCTATTCTAGCGCATGCAAACTGAATTTGTTGCTAAAATAAAAAGTTAATTTATTATGTTTAATTTATAAAACTATAAAATAATTAATTACATACCCAGTAGTAAGTGTTAGCACTCCATAAGCCAACAACATCACCACGTTTTAATCCTAAATAAAATAGTTTTAAGATTATAAATTAATAATCTTATATAAATAAATATTTAATAATTAAATTTATTAACTTACCTAATTCTAATAGTCCTTTAGCTAGTTTACTTACATCTGTATTTAATTCGTCATAGGTTTTAGTGATGTTCTCGTAATCACTAGTTAGCGCTGTTTTATTTGGTCCTGGTATAATTAAAATTTATTATTTATTTTGTTTTTAATAATAGTTGACATACTAATTTCAGCTTGTTTAGTTAATAAATCAGCCAGTCTAATGTAGGACAGACCAAGTGTACTCCGGCCGTAACAGTACGAATAGGGTAGAGTGACATGTGGTCTAAATTAATAAGTTAAATAACTAATTACATGAATTGATTAAAAATATATTTAGGCATACTTACTTTAAATTTTCATTTTTATTATTGTATTTAAGTGAATTATGCAAACATCTCACAAATGAATTATGATGATGACATTTTAGACTTATCAGTGTCTGTTTAAATAATGTTGATGTCAGATTGAAATAATGTGCATTATACATTATGCTGACAGAGGTATTGCAAAAATCAGGTAAAATATTTTATTTGTTAGTTAAAATATTAGTTTAAAAAATATATAATATGTTTAAATATTTATCACAAAATTGTTTTCACATTAAGTTTATATTATTTTTATCACAAATATATAAACAACTTAATGTCAATGTCTTGATTATTTAATTAATATATGAACGTACTTTACACCTAATATCTAGTGTAGAACTTTTGAATTATTTAATAAGTCAAATTAGTACACAATTTTAAAATATTAATAAATATAATTTTATAACCAAGTTAAAAGCTTTATATTATATAATATTCACATTTATTATTTGATTGAGTTGCACATTGTATTAAATAAATATTGCTGGGTGTATTAAATAATAACAGTTATACATATCACATATGAAAGCTTGGCTGCCATCGAGCTCTTAGTGAATAATGTATTTCCTATGGACAATGAGTAGTAGTTATAACTCAAAAAGTACTGGACCAATTTTTACAATTTATATATCAAATTGTACACAATAAAATTTAATCTGAGACATCTATCAGGATTTTTTATATAAATGTGAAGAATCAGACTATACTCATATTAAATAGATAAAAATACAATAATTTAAAGCCTTGCCATTTAAAAAGTACAGCTTCAATTTTAATTATCAATATATCAAATTAGTCAAAATTGAAAATAGAAAGATATAAATTTTTAGTTTTTAAAAATTCCAATTGTAAACGGTATTTTGAACTTAAATTACGATTTTATGTGCAAAAATAAGGCTTAAAATTAAAATATTGAAATTCATAAAAAATTATATTCTTATATTCTTAATTTGAACTAAATTGATATACTGATACTTAAAATTGAATAAGTATTTTTTAAATGGCAAGGCTTTAAAATATTATATTTTCACCTCTTTAATATGAGTATAATCTGATTCTTCACATTTATATAAAAAATCCTGATAGATGTCTCAGATTAAATTTTATTGTGTACAATTTGATATATAAATTGTAAAAATTGGTCCAGTACTTTTTGAGTTATAACTACTACTCATTGTCCATAGGAAATACATTATTCACTAAGAGCTCGATGGCAGCCAAGCTTTCATATATGTAAATGTAAAAATAATGAATTATTCAAGGTAAAATCGATTTTAATTTCCATAACCTTGAAAGCAATTCATAATTACAAAGCTTTTTATTTTTGATTAATTGTCAAGAATATCATTTATTTAATAATAATTGCAGTTTTCATGTTTTATGCTTATTAATCATTAATATGGTATTTTATTTTACTATTTTTAAATGTAACATTTTAAAATAATTTAAATCAACAACAAAAATTTATTGTTGCTATGCAACTTTAAATCCACTATAAACAATAATATTTAATATTATGCAAAATTGTTATTTAGTAAATGTATATTAACTTTAAAAATATATTTACTTTATAGATTATTAAATCATTAATTTTTTAAAACATAAAACAATGTAATTAAAGCATTGTTCAACTAACTACAATAATAAAGTTATAATTAAAGTTAAATGATAAGTAAAGACTTTATATAAACTATGTTACTACATTGAACTATTGTGAAGGGATAACTCCCGTCAACACATCGGAAATCCATTTCATATTCGATGAAACTCTAACGTTATAATTGAAGCCATCGTCCGAACAGTGGCCGGCCATTGACTTGAATACGCCAATCAGTACAGCCCGACCACCCGTATACTGGAGTAGTGGTGCGCCGGAATCACCCTGGTTATTTACCATACAATTAAATATCAATTAAACCATATTCAATATTGTTAGGTGACATTAGAAAGTACAGTATATTGTAAGAACCTGTAGAACTTTTATTTATGATAATACACAATAAAGGTTACTATTAGTCCCCAAAAGAAGTCATGACGTATTAATAAGTTTATTGTAAAATTAATATTTTCACAATAAAACATTTGCTATTTATGCAAAATTATTTTTTGTAGAAAAATAGAATGATTGTTGGTTATTTTGCCCTGGACAATTATTTTATATCATTTCTTATTGATGACCAGCAAACCCCCGAACATGGTCATTTTTCGATATTATTTTTACAAAAATTTGAAAATCTTGTATTATCCAAACGTGTTGCACTAAAAATCTAAAAAATATACCATAACAATTCAATGGATGAATATCACTGATTGGGGTGGTTAAAAAGTTGCCGCACTCGTGGCTTTTGCTTTGATACCCAACCGAAGTTGGCCGCACATAGATAGTGGCCACCATTCGATCAAGACTCTAATTCCATATATGTCGGCTGAAATATGTTCATAGACTAGAGTGGCAGTGAATATACTATTTTGGATCACTTTCACGTGATATGGAGGAGCTAGAAGTCAAGAAAATTGAATTTTAGACAATCTTGAAGCTGAAAAAATCGATTTTACCTTGAATAATTCATTATTTTTACATTTACATATATGAA